AACTTACCAAGCTCAGCAGGCAGTCCGGTCAACGAATTATTAGAAAGATCCAAAACTGACAGGGATAACTTGCATGCTCCAACTGGATATTCCTTCAACTGCATGCATTTGAAGTATTCAGTTCCAATTTGTTAAGATTCAGACTATTTCCGCAGGCAAAAGAAGATAAACATGAGCACAGAAAAAAACTAGATGAAATAACTGTATAAATCAAATGACCACATGCACATATTACATTACATTTTTTCCAGAACACCTATTACACTGAAAAATATGTCACACGAGCCAAAGATATTCATGGCTTAAAGAAACTGCTAGCCTTGATATAGTTAAATCCAACATAGACATCCTTAAAATACATTCAACACAGCTAAGAAAGCAGATTGTAGCATAAACCAGATACTGGTCTGATGGTTAGTTAACCACAAAGCAGGCATAAGACGTTTAAAACAAAAGGCAGCCAAGTTATCTATGTGATGCTCAATTGTTAGTATGGTATTTAGCTTCGGTAAGAATTAATATTGTGGTGGGCATCTAATCATGTACTCGATAGGATGGAATATAATTGAATTTCATTTTGAGACATCTGAATGACATTTCATGTGTACATCTTGGATTAGAAAGACTGAAATTTAATCTAGTTTGGTCAAAAGTAGACCCTTTGTTTTATCTATGTTCACCTCACTACAGTGTTCCAATTAAAGAACCATAACAGTAATACAATCAGGTCAACAATGCAGCAGTGTGACGAATAGTGAGCTCAAATATAATGATTAGGCAAAAGGAATTGAAATAGCTACCTGGTTTGAGTGAAGATCCATTGTCCCTAAACGAGAAAGACTGCCTAATTCCTCAGATAACATTGACAGTGCATTATTCCTGAAAATTTGAAATGGAAAATACCAGATAAATACAAAAAGGTACACTTTCAGGTAACTATTTAAACACCTGTCGTAACCAGTGAACAAGAATATGACCCCATATAGAATTCAACTAGAGAAGAGCAACCCGCTATTGATGGTGGGATTGACAAAATTCCTGCATCAGACAGTAACGGTATGATTTATCACATAGAGCTAAAGGATGATTTCTAGCATAACTCTGTATATCACTCACTATTCTGGTGAAGGTCAAGACGGATGAGACGTGAAAGGCATCCAATGTTCTCTGGTATACCACTTAGCAAGTTCTTTGCTGCACAGATGTCAAAATTTCATTTTAGTTTTGGAGATTTAAACACAACTCATATAAACTGGAAAGTCATATAATGGCTATTACATGCATTGAGTTCCGTAAGCATTGTACATGAAGCGAACAAATTCTCGGGTAAAGCTGTTAGTTTGTTCCCCTGAAATAATTAGAACATAGAGCATAAATTAGGCTCCAAATACATCATTAATGATAACTAATTACAACAGAAAATAACCGTCTTTAAATACCTCCACATCTAGTTTTGTCATTTTCGAACAGTTTGTAAGATCTTCTGGCAAGCTAGTTATTAAATTATTTGATGCCTGCCAGAACAAGAAAGGAACGGAAAACCATTTATGGATCGTATATAGTATTAAATAGGGCAAAATAAAACTTGTAGTTTCATGACAAGAAGATTTTCGCACATCTTAGTCATCAGGTTAGCTGATCTCCAGAATCTAATTGTCAAATAACAACCAAATAAGCAACAGTAAATTTATTTTTTATGGTCCTGAATAGAATTGTGTATGAATGGGACTGCATTGCGCAGGGTCTTCTTGTTTCTCCTTCTAGCAATGATTATCGTCAAAGGGAGAATCCACCTTGAGACTCATTTGGGAGAGACTAGAGAGTCGTCTGATCTCTAGTTTAGGTTTAAAATTCTTGATTTTATTGAATAGAAGACCTCTTATATAGAGGTTACATGGAATAGAGGGCTCACTGAAATGATAAGGAAATAAGCCTCAAAACTTCTAAGAAAGCAGGAAATTAAAATTGCAATATCTCCTAACAAAACTATATCTGCTTAAAATAATATTGACGTTCTCTCCTAAAATAATAATAATGTTATCTCCTACAATAACTAATGCTAACGTAACAGATATTTCGAAAGAGCATGAAACCGTGTTTGAAGATAACTCTAGCATCCATTCATAAACAGAAATTGGGAAAACGGCTGTAAAATACAAATAAGGCGCATGTTTGAGATTTAAACTAACCAACTATGATAAACATAACAAGAAGAGATTTTGTAGATAGAAATGCAGAAAACTTACAGCAAAACTATATGTGGCTTCGTAATGGAACTCAAACCTTATTGTTAGCAATGTTAGGAATGGTAGATATGTTCAAAGATGGTCTTGTATAGTTGAAGCAAAAGGTGGCAAATCCAATCCAGAAAGCATATTCTCGAAGGCCATTAAAAAGGTAAATAATAACTATGGTGATAGATAAATAGAAAATACAATACCTTTAGGTCTGATAAATCTGAACATTTTCCAAGTGAGGACGGAAGCTCCATAATACGGTTTTTTGAACAATCAAACCTGGAAGTCACAAAGGAATTATCCAATGAGACAGTAAACTAAAATTCCGACTCTTTTCTTCATTACAAAAGAAATTATGATCTGATATCACTAGAACAAAATAAAATGGACATTTAATACATCTCAAGCATAAGGGAACAGCTGATAAAATGATCATAGGCAAGACCGTTCATCTCATTTTTTGTGTTGATGCATAGCTGTTCAAACATAAGCATATGCCCATCACAATACATGAATGCATTAACAGAGCATACAAATGTGAACAAGTCATTAGCATCTAAAAACCAGTAGTACCCAATGAAAAAGAAAACCAGCCATCTATTCATTATTTGATGGATTGAGGAGGAGCATACTTGACCAACGAAGTTGCCGAGCCAATTTCCTCCGGTATTGCCACTATAGAGTTAAAAGACACATCCAACAACTTCAGCATAGAAAGCCTATTAAATTAGAAGTAAAAATAAGATCACAGAATGGAAATTATCTTGCAAAACTGGAGAAAAAAAATATAAAGTAATAGATTTCATCGTTTTAAAACAACTCACTCTCCGATAGCAGCTGGAAGATCTGTAAGCTTATTGTGACTAACATTCAACACAGTCAATAAAGACAAATTCCTCAGGTCTTCTTTCAGTGACTCGATATTGTTATGTGCCAAAATTAGCTTTTGTAGCTCCACAGCCTTAAAAAAAAAAAAGCGACACCAAGAACATTAAGACTATGCTTAACTTAAAAATGGAAATTTTCAATCGAATTACATCGAGAAACAAAGAGATTAAGCTTAAAATTAGGAGAAATTTTCATGATATACCTAAAAAAGGAACAGCAATCAAAATTAAATTAAATTAAATTACCTCCCACCATTTTTCATCCTCCCCTAGAGAATCCAAGCTTCTGTAGATCTCTTCTGGAACATCTCTTTTAAAAATTTAAAATGAAGGGGAAAACAATTAATTGGACTGCAGCAATGAATTGGAATGATGAAAAGAAATTTATGTTTTGGGATGAAGAAATGAAATTTACCTGAGAGATCGATTGGATAAGTTGAGAGAACCGGAGGCTCTTGCAGCTTTCAATAATCGATCCATTTTCTCTGCGATGTTAAGACATGAATGGAGCAGTGATTTGGTTTTTGGATCTGCTCTGTTCGGTCTCTTTACTTTTGTCTTACTAACTGCAGAAGTGAGAAAACATATCTGGTTTAGTGTCTTTGTCGGATTTTCATTTTCTCTTTTTTCCTTAGACAAAATTTTAATTATAATTTTTTTATTTCTATTTTCATTCTTTTTATTTTCTCAACCAACATTTTTTTGTATTATAAAATTTAGATTAAGGGTGGCTCTCCGTTAAGGGTCAACGTATTTCTAAGACCCAATTTAGATTTACATAAGAATTTACAGATTGATAATTAAGAGTGACGGTGGTATGATTCAAACTTGATTTTATAAGTTCAAATTCATGAATCTCAACCACTTGTGTAAACACTTGTTGGCCTCGACCAACATCTTTTTAATAGCTTAAATTATATCATTAATATGAATATTATACGAAAGACATCGATTCATGTGATAGATTGGAGATATTAGAGAAGAAAAAAATCGAAGAAGAAAGGATTTAAGAAGTAGAAATGAGAGATTACATAAAGAAATTCACTTCATTCATTTCCTAAGGAATCCAATTCAGTTTACAACCTATATTATTTAGTTCAGGGGTAAAACAGTCATTTGCAAGGATGCCAGCTAATTGTCCTTTTAATAGATTATAACAACCACTATATTCTCTTCTTGCAGGATATTGGACTAAACACGTGGGCTTCTCCTTCTCTATTTGGACTGATTGGGCTGTTAACTCCTCTTGGATCATTTCGGTCTGTTTCACCATCTCCTGAATCGGTCACGTCCGTCTCCACTTCCTCAGGTAATATCATTCGTCCTTCAATTGCCTAAATCCCTAATTCCCCATTTTCATTTCCCTATCGTACCCCGATCCCTAATTCCCTTTTTTTATTTCTCATTCGTATCGCAATCCCTAATTCACCATTTTCCACTTCGTTTCCATGCTCATCTCTTCCAACTATGGCAATACTCGCCGCTGGAGAAGATCCTTGTCCCCAAGGATCAAAATTCGAAAATTGGCCTCGAAGCACAGAATAATCCTCCCATGAGTCGTTCGTAGCATCCAGGTTAGTCCAACGAACTAGTAACTGAGTGATCGGTTTGTTATGTCGTTTAACTATTCGTCTGCCCAGAATTTGACTTGGTTCAATCTTGAACTGACCCTCTTCGTCCATTACAGGAGGATCTGTTGAAGACGATACGACTGCTCCAATATGTTTCTTCAATAAGCTAACATGAAAAATCGGATGTAGACGTGAGGTCTCAGGTAAGTCCAGTTTATAAGTAACCTCTCCAATTCGTTCAATAATCTTATAAGGGCCATAAAATCGTGCCACTAATTTTAAATTTTTTTCGCAGGGCAAGAGAGGTCTGTCTATAAGGCTGCACTTTCAGGTAAACCAAATCACCCACCTGAAAAATTCTTTCTGATCTGTGTTTATCTACCTTTTGCTTCATTCGATTACTTGCTTGTTCTAACTGAGATTTGACTAATTGCCTGATCTCTTCTCTATTCTGCATTAATTCTGCTATGCTTTGCACTGGACTGTTTGTATATCATACCATAGTAAGAGGCTTGTAGCCATATAGGACTTCAAAAGGGGTTAAGAGCAGTATGGTAGGTAGTATTATACCACCATTCAGTATGAGGCATCCACTTTGCCCATTGTTTTGGTTGGAAAAAACAGAGACCTCTAAGATATTGTTCCAAACATTGGTTTACTCTTTCTGATTGTCCATCAGTTTCAGGATGATAAGCAGTGCTAAATAGGGTTTTAGTGCCCAACTGTTTCATTAGCTCTCTCCAAAAGAGGCTAGTGAAAGTCTTGTCCCTGTCTGAAATAGCCATTTTAGGTTGGCCATGCAACTTGTAGACATAATCTAGGTATAATTTGGCTACCTCTGCAGCAGTGTAAGGATGTGCTAATGCCAAAAAATGGCTATATTTAGTAAACTTGTCCACTACCACAAGAATACAATTCTTTCTCAAATATGTAGGCAAACCCTCAATAAAGTCCATAATAATTACTTCCCAAACCTGCTGAGGAATAGGTAGAGGTTGTAACAACCCAGGTTTAGGCACATGCTCCACCTTAGTCTGTTGACAAACTGCACATGCTTTTACATAAGTAGCTACCACAGCTTTCAATTTAGGCCAATAGAAGTAAGACCTAATCCTTTGGTAGGTAGCCTGACTACCAGAATGGCAACCATAAGGGGAATCATGTAGTGTCTGAAGTATTTGTAGTCTAAGAGACCCAACAACCCCAATATATACTATATCCTTAAATCTAAGGATACCTCCTGAATACTTCCACTGAAGATCAGCATTATGATTAACAGATAATACAGAAATCCATTGCTTAGCTATAGAATCATCGTTATAACTTCATTCCTCTTCATGAACCCAACTAGGAATGATTAGGGTAGTGCTCATAGTAAAACAGTCAGTCTGATCTTCCTACTGTCTAGATAAGGCATCAGCAACAACATTTAATTTGCCTTTCATGTACTGAATAGTGTAATCCAGCACCAATAACTTGGTCAAGCCTTTCTTTTGAATGGTAGTAGTCAATTTATGTTCTAATAAATATTTCAATGGTTCATGATCTGTTTTAATCACAAAAGATTTACTCTCTAAATAATGCCTCCGTTTGGAAACTGCTAGAAGTATAGCAAGATACTCTCTTTCATAAATAGAGAGTGTTGCATGTCTAGGACTTAGAGCCTTACTTAAATAGGCAATAGGTATGCCCTCTTGAGATAAAACTGCACCAATACCACCTGAACTGGCATCTGTTTCTAAATAAAAGCTCTTACCAAAATCTGGTAAAGCTAAAACAGGAGCAACACACATAGCTCTCTTCAATTCTTCAAAAGCAGCCAAAGCTGCATCATTCCACTTAAAACTATCTTTCTTAAGCAGCTGAGTCAGAGGTTTGCTATTTGATCCATAATTCTTAATAAATATTTTGTAATAGCCTGTTAATCCCAAAAATCCACGCAAAGACTTTAATGACTTAGGCATTGGCCAATTCCTCATAGCTTCCACCTTCTTAGGATCAGTAGAAACTCCAGTAGCTGAAATAATATGGCCCAAGTATTCAACTTGAGTCTGTCCAAAGAAGCATTTGGACAGCTTGGCAAATAGTTGATTCTGATGCATAACTTCTAAAACCAATTGTAAATGAGTAACACGATCATTCATAGAAGTACTATAGACTAAGATATCATCACAAAATACCAAGACAAATTTTCTAAGGAATGAACTAAACAATTCATTCATTAAAGCTTGAAATGTAGCAGGGGCATTAGTAAGTCCAAAAGGCATCACCTTAAATTCATAATGACCCTGATGAGTTCTTAATGTTGTCTTATAGATGTCCTTAGATTTAATCCTTATTTTCCAATATCCAGATCTGAGATCAATCTTGGAAAAATAAACTGCTCCATGTAATTCATCTAATAGGTCTTCAACCACAGGTATAGGAAATTTATCTTTCACAGTCATGCTATTTAATTTCCTGTAATCCACACAAAATCTCCAAGTACCCTCCTTCTTTTTGATAAGAATGCATGGAGAAGCAAATGGACTCCTACTAGGTTGAATAATAGAGGCTGAAAGCATACTAGAAATTTGTCTTTCCACTTCCTATTTCTAATTGTGTGGAAATCTATAAGGTCTCAAATTGATAGGAATAGATTCAGGTTTTAGAGGAATAGCATGGTCATGAGACCTTGTAGGTGGTAACCCAGTAGGCTCATCAAAAATAGATTGATATCTTTGTAAAGGAGGTTGAAGAGATGCTGGAATAAATTTTGAATCTTCAGACATAGTCAACAAAATCACATGTCCTAAAATAGGAGAATCTGATGCTGTCATCTTCAATAATGTAGCTCCAGAAATTTGTTACAAAAAATTAGATGGTTGTTGTCCTTGAATAATAATATTCTCCCATTCATGTTGAAAACTCAGTGTCATTTGATTAAAATCCATCAAAATAGAACTAAATAATTTCATCCAATCCACCCCAACACCATATCACTGCCACCTAACTTCAGGAGTCTAAAATCATGAACAAAAGAGTGTCTTGCATCTGCCACTCCACCTGATTACATCTTGTTGAACTATAAAGTTGCTGTCAATTGGCTACTGTGATTGCCAAAGGATATGGTGTAAGTACATATATACCAGCCTCAGCCCACTGTGGAGTCAAAAAACTATGAGTACTCCCACTATCAATCAAAATACTAATTGGTCTGCCTTGAATGGCTCCTTGAATCCTTAATGTATTATGGCTAATGCAACCAATAATAGCATTCATAGATATTTCTAGAGCCTCTTCTTCCTGTATCAATTGTTGATCTGATTCCATAGGAACATTATCTGTAGGAACAAAAGATTCTTCCTCAATCATCAAATTTAAATTCCTTGATTTACATTGATGCCCAAGAAGAAACTTCTCCCCACACTTGAAGCAAAAATTGTTTTGTCGTCTATAATCCATAAGATTCTGTTTAGGATTAGAAACTGACGTGTTCTTGGTAATTGCTGGCAATGAAGCTGATTTAGAAGTAATAATGAGGCTTGGGTAGGGTGGGTTTTTAAAATAGGGCCTCCATCTTCTGTTTTCATAATCAACAGATAATTCATAAAGTTTGGCTTGTTTGTATGATTCAGGCAAATTTTTAGAATCTAGAGCCTTCACCCTATGTTTAATATCCTCCCTCAATCCACTGATAAAAAGTGACACAAAGAAATCCTCATTTAATGTAGGATTTTATAATAACATATAAGGTTGTAGCTCTTCAAATTTTTCCTGATAAGCCTCAACAGTCCCTTTCTGAGTCAGCTTAGTAAATTCTTCTACTATATCAGAAAAAGTGTAACATCCGCATTACCGGGTTAGTGACCAAATTGTAAAGTTTCAGAATTTGGTGACTAAAGTAGGATAATTGAATAGTTCAATGACTTCTTGGAAATATGATGAAGGTTATTCAGTAATTATTAAAGGAAATAAAGGGTAAAATGGTCATTTGATCATTTAAGAAGAAAAAAAGGGGAATTATATACACGTGGAGAGGGAGAGAATTCTCCAAAATTCTCTTCTCCTTTCTTCTTCTTCTTCACGTGGAAGCCAAGAGCAAAGGTAAGTTTGATTTAGCTTATGATTTCTTGAAAGTTTTAAGTTGGATTTGAGTCTTTGAGGGTTATATAAGCTTAAGGAAAGCTTATATCAGCTTAAAACACCAAAGAGATAGAATTAGAAAGGAATTTCTATTAAGGGTTTATAAATAAACTTTTGTTATAGAAAGGTTTTTGAAGTTCTAAAGTTGGATTTGACTTGTCATCAGCTTAATTAAGAAGTATTAAGTGTTAGAATTGGATTTAGAACATATAGAAAATTTGGTATGATTCTTGAATCTCATAAAGAAGATAGGATTTTGATGTTAAAGATGATTTACATGGATATAAGTTGGTTCAAGTTATAATAGTTGAGTTTAATGTCAAAATAGGGGCTTAAAATAGAAGAATTAAGGGAAGAGTTGATGATTTACGTGCTAAAATGTCAGTTCTGGGCAATGTGCATCGATGCATATTCATTGTACACCGATGCATCGATGATAAATACCAGAAATTATTTAAGGTGCATCGATGCACATGCAGTGCATCGATGCATGAATTTAAATAGAAAACATCGAATATGATTTATGCATCGATGCATAAGGAGTGCATCGATGCATCCCCATTAAATACAAACATCGAATAGGATTTATGCATCGATGCATGGTGTAGTGCATCGATGCATACCTTCATTAAAAGATGAAATTGGCTTTTCTTTGAGACTAAGGAGTGATAGTTTCGAATATATCAATCAGTATACTGATAAGTATTAATGTATTATTATTATGTAGATATAGAATGAAAGCTTGTTCCGGAACAAACTAAGGATTAGGATTGATTCAAACAACGAGGCCCAGGTGAGTGCATATTCAATAGTATATGATGTGCGATGGGAATAAGACTTGCGATGAGTCTATTTCCTGAAGTGTTACACATGAATGCATGATTAAAGGCATGAATTGAATATGCATGTATGTATGCTTGATTATATGGATAGATCTGTTCTTTTATGTGTTAGGTGAGAAAGTATAAGTAATTACATAAGAAATGTTATGAATTATTTGAGATATAAACTATGTGATCATAGTAAAATATAATTATATTATTATTATATGATAAGTGAAATAAGCTGGATAATATTGATCTATAGGATGATGTGAGAATAGTACACTAACAAGGAGATTTGAACATAAATGATAATATGAGCATATAAATAAGCTAGATGGGAAAGATTCATATGTTTAAATAAAACTATAACACATGGGTTGTATGATAGAAATTTATGAAGCTATATAAGAAGATTATAGGAGTTATATGAAATTGAATTAAGTAAACAGATTAGATTATATATATATATAAAGAAATAATAGAAGTGAGATGTGTTTATAAGTCTGACATAGATGAATATGAATATGAATTATAAGAGTTCTATATGATTTATATTAGGATAAATCTTGAGAATATATATATATATAGATAGATATGAAATGAAATGAATTATATGAATACATAATTATGTGATGAAATGGTAGATTACCTGAACATGTGAATATATATATGTCTAAGAGAAGGCATAAGATTAAGATATAAGCAATGTGACTATAAGTATATATGTGCTCTAAGTGATATGACTTATAGGTATTTCTATTATAATGTTACATAATATGTTATGTATGTTAAATGAATTATGTGAGGGTTTAATAAATGATATGAAATATATATGTGAAAGCAAGTATAGGTTATGAGATAAGACCTATGACTATAAGCTACGTGAAAGTGTTCTAGGTGTTTCGATATATTATATGAAGTATATGATCTTATGTGAACAAGATATGATAAGTATGTTTACATGAATAAAGGTGATTGGGTGAGAAATGATAGAAATTATATGAAAACATGACATATCTGACATGTGAATTATATGGAAATGATCTACGTGTAAGTGAACTACGTGACTATGTGATAATATGAAAAGAAGCTATGTGATACGTGATATGTGAAAGTGAATTACACGTTTATGTGAATATTGAAATGAAATAAATGATAACGTCCATGTTATGTGTCATGAGAGCTAGGGGTATAGTTGGCATGTCAAGAGTCGAGGGTCTACGCGGTCCTTCGGGATATATATATATTCTTTGGAACATGTGTGAAGTCTGGTGAGACACATATATGATCCCTAGCATATGTATATGATTCTTAAGGAATTCTATGTGGTCTTTATGGACATCATTATATGGCACTACGGTGTAATTCTACGCGGTCCTTCGGGATATATATATATTCTGTGGAACATGTGTGAAGTCTTGAAAGACACATACTTGATCCCTAGCATATGTATATGATTCTTAAGGAATTCTATGTGGTCCTTATGAACATTATTATATGGCACTACAGTGCAATTCTACGCGGCACTTCGGTGCAATTATACGAGCTGTGGTGACAGCATTAGTGCACAACCTCTATAGACTCACATATCGATAGTTCTCACATACGTACATGGGCTAATCCAGAGATATGAACAAATATAAGTTAGTGGTATGATAAATGCTATAGAAATGATATGATGTTGTGTGTGTATAGTGTTTGATTGAAAAAGTATGTGATTATATGATAAACTGTTAATGATGAATTATGTGTATGTATGTATTTACTGCAATTAATCTGATATGATTTTATACGATATGAAAAATGCATGGAATTGCTATAACATGATAGAACAGAACATGCATGTATCGATATATGTTTTAAAGTGCATTATAAGTTGTTATGCCTCACTAAGTCTTCGACTTAGCGTGTGATTGTTTCACACGTAGGTTTCGAGAAGAGTAAAGAGTGATGCGGAGCAAGACAGGTCAGTTTTCCTTACCAAAAGATCAGATCAGAAATATTTGACAAAGTATGTATTTGGTTATGTATAAAGTGTTGGCATGTAATAAGTCATTAAGTACGAGCACTCTGATAAAGTCTGTATTTTGTTTTAAATAAAGTTTTAAATTTCCCGGGATTTTTCTTAAGAGTCAAGGTTTAAAAAGTCAATGTGACACTTCGGACTCGTATCCGGGTCGGATACGGGTTGGGGGTGTTACAAAAAGACTTGTCACTAAATCTATGACAAAGATCTGCTTCAAATTCATGTCATGTTACATGGTGTTTCTACATAATATATCCATCAAACCAAACCTCTGTTTTCCCAGTCAAGTACATAGTGACTACTTCTACCCTCTGCTCTGTAGGAACATTACACAGAGAAAAATATTTAAGGCATTTTTGAAGCCATCCCCTAGGATTGACCCCTTCAAAGAATGGCAAATCAATTTTTGGCCTATGCTACATAGACCCTGAACTGATGAAAGAACTTCCTAGACCTCTTCTTTCTATTTTAGACCCCAACAAGACAGGTCTAGATTCACTATTTTCACCTATCTGATTTCCGTTTTTAAGGACCACACAATCATCAGGTTTAGCTTGTCATATCCCAGGCTCATCTGTTTTATAAGTAAATCTGTTGTCTTTTACCACAATCACCAAAACATGACTTTTCTCTCCATTTTTAGAAGCATTAGGAGTTTGCACCTGGTCATCAGCAGACTGATTTTGGTCCTCCTTCCTGCCAGTCAAAATCCTCAAGATTTCTTCCACATATCCATGATTCGTATTCATTCTAGACTCCAATGTGTTAATCTTGTTTTCTTGAGTCTCCCACCATTTAGGTGGATTAGACTCATATTTTCCTTGTTTCACCAAAGCTGTTAGTTCCTTCATCTGCTTTTGCAACCCAGAAAATTCAGCTTCCATACTCTGATTCTTCTTTGTCATACCCGATTTTGCCAAAAATCGAGGCTCTCGATACCAATTTGTGATAGATTGGAGATATTAGAGAAGAAAAAAATCGAAGAAGAAAGGATTTAAGAAGTAGAAATGAGAGATTACAGAAAGAAATTCACTTCATTCATTTCCTAAAGAATCCAATTCAGTTTACAACCTATATTATTTAGTTACAGGGCTAAAACAATCATTTGCAAGGATGCCAGCTGGCTGTCCTTTTAACAGATTATAACAACCACTATATTCTCTTCTTGCAGGATATTAGACTGAACACGTGGGCTTCTCCTTCTCCATTTGGACTGATTGGGCTGTTAACTCCTCTTGGATCATTCCGGTCTGTTTCACCATCTTCTGAACCAGTCACGTGCGTCTCCACTTCCTCAGGTAATATCATTCGTCCTTCAATTGCCTGAATCCCTAATTCCCCATTTTCATTTCCCTCTCGCACCCCGATCCCTAATTCCCTTTTTTCATTTCTCCTTCGCATCTCAATCCCTAATTCACCATTTTCCTCTTCGTTTCCATACTCATCTCTTCCAACTGTGACAATTCAATTACTATATATTAATTTGATTAATTTTAATTTATGTGTCTTTTAACTATTGAAATTTTATTTTTGGCCAAAATTATAGAAAAATAACGATGACCAACATACGAAATCGTCGTATATAAATTGAAAAAAAATGATAAAAATAAATAAACTTATATTTTATGTATATTATAAAGATTAATAAAATATAATGTAATAAAATTGATAATTATTATTTAAATTTGAATTAAGAATTTAAAATATAAGATTAAAATTAATTTAGATAGAGTACAAATTAATAAATATTTAATATTTATAATATTTTCCATTTAAAAAAATAAAAAAGAAATAATTTTTAGGCTAAATAAGGTAAAAATGATGAAAAAAATAATGGGGAAAATAAGGTTTCTTCAACATTGATTGGGATAATATGGTGATTTGTATAATAACTTGTCGACGATATAATTTTAAGACTAAAATGAAAAAAAATCAAAGTATAAAAATTAAAATGATTTTTTAAAATTTAACCATTTAAATAAAAAAAAATTTAATGAAAGAAATAAAAAATTATGTTTTTGAACTACAAATATATTACAATTTTTTTTAAAAAAAAATATATATGAATTAAAATAAATAATAATAATTTCGTATTTAATTTTAAATATTTTGATATTTATAAATAATTTTAAATATTTGATTTTTATTTATTTTTTTGTACATTTCAACTACTAAACTCATAAATCAAGAAGAAAACGTACACTTCATTACAACAAACTTTCCACTCATTAATATTCTAAGCTGAATCTGGTGTCGTCTCTCTACTTTGGTGGAACAGGCTCGTTGATCTTAGCATCTTCCATCTCTTTAAAATTTTGTTCACTTCCAACAGGCTCACAACATCCCGATTCGCACCTTGGCTGACCACATTGTCCGCACCTACTGTCCGCACCTACTTTGGTGGAACAGGCTCGTTGATCTTAGCATCTTCCATCTCTTTAAAATTTTGTTCACTTCCAACAGGCTCACAACATCCCGATTCGCACCTTGGCTGACCACATTGTCCGCACCTACTGTCAGGCTGATGGTACCACACTCGACCTTCAAATGTACCGATTGCCAATCGGTTGCTGCTGCTGCTGCCAACAGCCCCCGTTGTTACACCATGGGATCTGTGGGATTTTTGGAAGTTGTGGACATGGTGGGTTAATATATCTCCCATGTCATCCGCAACCATGATTACCATATACAAAGCCGAGAATACCGAGCTCACTAGTTCCCGTGATTTTCTATGCAACATTATCATTGCTATTCATCTCGTGGCTAGGGCTGGCGCCTGCATCTACGTGAGGAAGATGGTCTATGTTTATGTGGTTGCCATCATTGTGATGTTCCAGGAGGAACCTATGACCCAAAATAAAGCTTAAATAAAAACACCGACAACAAAAATTGCAAATTTGTGAGTTTTCTCTTCTAATCCTCAACCAAATGAAGGATTTATCAATACGATTTATAGGCTTAAATGCAGTGGGACGGAACAAAAAACCACGTAAATGCTAAATGTGTTTTTGTTTGCTTTGTTCATTTAATCCGGAATCATGGATTGAACGACTAGGAATTTACTTGTTTTGCCTGCAACACTAATCTTCAACACTAGCCAAAATATATAGCCCTTATTTACAGCCGAAACCTACTCATCACTTGCAAGCATTGTATACGTTAAATCCAATGATGAATTATCTTAGAAATTGATTTAGCGGAATAAGACATTATATCTAATAAGAAAAGTAGGGGTTTAAATAAATATAAAATACGTTAAACATTTATATGAATGGTAAGGTTTTCAGACAAGCAGCATGCAAATAATTAACATTGATTAAGGCAGGCAAAATACACCATCTCTGATGAACTATACAGGAACATACAAGAGTTTATTTCAGACTCTGTATCATAACATAAGCCACTGGATGTCATAAGAATTTCTCGATGCAAGTTGTAAGTGTTGATTTTGGAACGGCACCGATCACCGCATCTTTCTTCTCCCCATTTTTGAAAACCATTACAGTCGGAATGCTTCGGATTCCATACCGAGTTGCGATGTCGGCACTTTCATCAGTGTTAACTTTGTAACATTTGAGCTTCCCAGCATATTGCTTTGACAGTTCGTCGATTACGGGGTGGATCATACGACATGGTCCGCACCATGGTGCCCAAAATTCAACCAGAACAGGCAATTCACAATCAAGAACAAGTGACTGCCAATTTTCATCTTTAATTGCCTGCACTGCAAATTTCAAGAGCAAGCTTAATAATACATACACATATATAACCAGGATCCAAGGAAACAAACATGACTATAACTTTTGTCAAAGTTTGAAGGTTTATGGAAAATAGTAACACGATCCTCTGTTGTTCCATCATTCTGTTTCATTTGAGACCAAGCTACAAGAGGAGCTTCAAATTTCCTCCATGTTTTTTTAAAAGATAAACCTTGGACAATGCTAACAAAAATGTAGGCCAATCGAATTCTCTAACACGCACCCAAAACACGATAAAAACGGATGTCTCAGTGGTAGAACTTATGTTAATTCCACTCTTCATTTTGAACTCGGACATATTTTGAACTTGTGTCCGAGATTCATATCCGAGTCCAAAACGTCCAAGTCCCAAGTCTGAGTAACTTAAACATAGGGCTTTCAACCTATAATTTTGTAGTTTGATTCTGCCGGAGGGGAATTAGGGACTTATTGGATGCGAGAGAATCACTTCAATTTCCAAAGCTTAATCAAATTTACCACCTTCAGCATAAACAAACAATCAATTCTAATAAAACTTATTCAGTGAACAAACTCAGTTTAAAGTTTAACATATGTGAGTGGCCTCACCGCTCAGCTGGTTTAAAGTTTACAAAACAATTAAATTCTAAGTATTCATCATAATTCAACGAAAAAAGATTTGAATTTTACTTTTTCATTATCACAAAACAATAAATCGAATAATCCTTTCTTATATCCTTCCATTTCCCAAGCAATCAATCAAACTAAAAAAAACATAATAAAAACAATTAGAACAGGAAACAAATTAATTTTAACCGAAACAAACGAAACTCACCGTCAACAGCGGTGTTCTGAGCCTCACAAACAACACGTCCAACTCGACGACGCGGATCCTGAATCACCGATCTGGATGGCTGAGTCAAAGATGCCGACCTCTGTTTAAGCTTGAGACCTCGAAATTCCAGTAATCTAACGGATGTTCTCCGATCAGAAACCAAAGAAGAAGGGGAAGAGACAGAAAAAATGATCGGAACCGTAAAGGAAGCCATGGAAAAAGGGAATTATTCCTAGGAACAAAGTGGAGATTTCAAAGAGAGCGAGAGGATTGGATTATAGTAAAAACACGAACATTTTTGGATGATGGGAAAGGTAAAAGACAAAAAAGAAGCGGACGGTGAGGATTGCTTTCCAAGATGCCCCTGGGATATTCTGGTACGATGATTCTTTTGCAAATACAAGGTGCGCCACGTGACATTTTTAGTAATAAATTCGTAAAAAATAACAACAAGCCACTATTAAATTATTATTATGTCAAAAAATTAATACAATATTTCTAAAATAATAACAAATAATTTAAAAAATAAATATTAATATAATTTTAAAATATATAATTAAATTTATTAAATTGTTTTGATTAAAATCAAATTAATAATTTTTAATTATTATTATATCAAATCATGTCATTGATAAAATGACTTATTCATGATAATATTTGAATCGAGTGATTTATTTATAATTTTTAAAAATAAACCAATTATTATCAAATTTATAATTAAATGAATTTAGATATAGTTTATCCTAAATTATATATCAAATTTATTTTGATTATTAAAAAAAACTATTAATTAAACCATTAACACTAAATTTTGAATCTTTGATATCAATCAAACTGCTGCTTGTTAAATCACTAACAAACCAATAATATCATGACTCATTTTTAAGTAATATAATAAAAAATTAATCCAATACATTTATATATTAAAAAATTTAATCATAATTCTAAAAAAATCAACATTTATACCCTGAGGAAATTTTGTTGACCGAAGATAACATTTTATTTCTAAAATCAATGAAAAAGGTAAAAACGTATGGTTACAAGTAAAATCATACCATATAAATATATGATCCTAAAAATTAATATTGAGCAAATATGATCTCTAGGATACAAGCACATCGACTCCTATAACTAAAGGGCATCTTCCACGGGATCGCGAAGGCACGGTGATGAGGATATACATTACGTGTTTTGCTTCACAAGGGTAGAAGTTCCCTACTGGTCCATCAGAGCCATCAATTTCTTTATCATTTCATCAAAATCTGTCGGGCTGTCATTTGCCTGATCATCCACATCTTCCAAGTACACCATTCGAACACCGCACATCTTTACTTTAAAGCTGAATTGCGTTTTGTAAAAGAACTCACTTTCAGTACCAGGCTTAATCTTGGTCTGTAATGAGACACCACGAAATTCCTTCAACATCGAAACAAGCCTTTCACAAGATATATATCGTATCCAAAGGTGATCAGCGGTGATCTGGTCGGATTCTGGGAAACAAAAGCCACTGCTTATCCCAGACTTTATACCACCTACAGAGATGCAACACTGAATAGGGAATGAAGTAATCCATGAAGTCTGAGGATCGTCATCGAATGGAACAGAAGCAAAAACACAGCACAAAGCAACTCCAATCAACTGATTAAAGTCGGTTGGCAGAGTTATTGTTATTGAAGATCCATCCCTCTGATGGCTGAACCATTCCGGGATTTCATTTCCTGGCATAACAATGTCAAATTTTGGTCTTGCATTTGCAACTACCTTGAGATGTCTTTTCAGCATTGTTAATGCATAGTTGTTCTCAGCCAACTTGAAGCAGTTAAGAGCATAAATGGATGTCTCATCCATCGAATCACATACGATTACTGGATCTGCAACTTCTTCCAATGAATCACAACCGTCTACTGCTGCACTTGTGGGTGCTGGAAGTGCAGGCACCGATTGGAGTCTCTTGCAATTCGACAATTTGAGATAACTGAGCTTGGAAAGTCGGCTTAGAGTTGTAGGGAGGGTGATGAAATTGTTGCCATTAAGGAATAGATTTACCAAAGAGGATAAACAGCCAATACTACTAGGAATAGCCCCTTCACCAAGGTTGCAGTCACTTAGGATCAGTTCTCTTAAAGAAATCAAACCCGACAATGGAGCTAATGTCAACGTCATGGAAGGTCGTAGTTGCCCCTCGCATCCATCGGTTGAGAGACTCCAAAGATTTTTACAGCCTCTTAGATTCAGAAGATTAAGCTTGTTGAGATTTCCAATTGAAGATGGAAGTTGTTTGATTGCTGTCCCCTCTAAATTAAGTTCCATCAAACATTCCATTTTCCCCTCAATCTCCGGAAACATTTGGAGATTTGAGCAACCTGAAAGAATTAACTTTTCAAGAGATTCCATTCCTCTAATGGTTGGCAGACTCCTTAGGCTTTTGCAGTCTGTTAAATCCAGAAATTTAAGCCCCGTGAGATGTTCAATTGACGAGGGAAGTTCTTTCATGCCTGACCTATCTAAATAAAGCTTCGACAAACACCGCATTTCCCCCATGATTTCAGGAAAACTTTGAACATTTGAGCAGCTCGAAAGAATCAATGTTTCAAGAGACTTCATTCCATTTATAGCTGGAATACTCCTAAGACTTTTGCAGCCCCTTAAATTTAGAGTTTTAATCCTGCTTAGCCCTCCTATGGAAGGATGAACATCTACTAGGCTGGTACAACCTTCGAAATCCAAACTTTCGAGATCTGTAGCCGTGCTCAAGTCTGGTACCCTGATTAAGCTCTCAGAGTTCTTCAGGTCGACCAATTTCAACTTATTCAGAGGCTGTTAGAATTACTTAACATAAATATTCATCTGTGATCTAACAATTGATAAAAGATGAGGCCTGAAAGACAAATAGCGGATAACCTTACCTTCTTTCCCTCCCATAGTTCTTCAATCCTGCTACAAGGAATAATAAGTGCCACAAGGTTTTCCGGATGGAAGCTTGATGACAAGGATTTAAAAGGATATCCTGGCCAACTGATAAGCCGTAACTCACTAGAAAGATACACGAGATCTCCAGATTTTGCTTCCACATAGAAGAGTTTGAGCAATCTTAGTTTTGTCATCTTCAAGAACACATCAGCACTCAAACTGAACGTCTTACTTTGCTCCCTGATATTTAATCAAACAATTACATAAACAAACTTCATAATAGTACATAGAAATCAACCAATGTTCAATATTAGTACCATAATCTTTCGACGAACATGCCTTGAACCGCTTCAGTACCCTAAAATCAAGAGTAAACCGTATAATAAGTTGGGGACAATATGGACTATCATGTAGGAACATTTTTGTATCTTATTTAAGGGGTTAAATTTACTAATCTAACTAATATGGTAAAATTTACATAATAAGATAATGACTTACAAGGTTTTGTGTTAGCACATGATAGATATCGTCTTCCTTCCACAATCTACAACGCTTTCCAAGGTTGTCAATAGATTTTTGCCTAACAATTTGTCTTCCCATCTCTTGGAGCAAATCATGCATCCACAATTTGTTTTCACCTGTAATTGTTATTAGAGATTTCTTAATGAGAGCGTCGATACCAATTTCTGGGAAAAATCCACAACCATCCAATATTTTTGTCACGAAATCAATCTTTTCCCCTTTGAAAAAGCATGCAATATCCAGAAATATATCCTGCTCGGTTTCATCCAACCCATCAAAGCTTATTTGAAGTCTATCATGAATCTCTTTGTTAGAGTCTCTTTCGAGCCTTTCAATTGCACTTCTCCATTTAGTTGCATCTCTACCGCAAAGGAAAGAACCCAAAACTTTAAGAGCTAAGGGAAGGCCATCTGCATATTTCACAACTCGTTCAGAAAGTTCCACAAAATCATATGGTATTTTGTCACTTTTGAAAGCTTGCGAACTGAAAAGACGAAGCCCTTCACGAGCGTCCAATATTGTTGGTTTATAAACATCGTCCACTTGATAGGCTTCCAACAACTGTTTATCTCTAGTTGTTACAATGATTCGACTTCTAAAACCAAACCAATCGCGGTCTCCAACCAAGTATTCTAACTGTTGTAGGTTATCAGCATCATCGATAACAACAAGAATTTTTTTGCGAGATAACCTATAGTTTATCATGTCACTCCCATCATAAACATTAAACAAATTGAAACCTTCATCCGGAAGGATCTGAGAAAGAAGCTGTTTCTGTACTGAAACTAGTCCATATTTCTCTGAAACTTCTCGAACATCAGCAAGAAAGCATCTACCTTCAAAATGAGGTGACATCTGAGCATAAATAGCTCTTGCAAGAGTAGTTTTACCTATGCCACCCATACCCCAAATTCCTACAATGCGAACATCATCTTCCCCGATGTTTATTTTGGAATGCAGTTCTTCCAATCGTGAATTAATTCCAATCAAATGACGATGATTTGGAATAACCGAATATACTATACATAATTTTGCAGATATCTTTTTGACAATGTCTCCAATGAACTCCGATTCAAATCTACAAAAAGGAGAAATAGCATTTAGTAGTCAGATTATGAAATTACCATCTTTTTTTATTTATAGTAGAGTTTGAAAGCAAAAATCACAGCAATTAGAATATGAAGAAAGGCTTTGTTACAACATTATAAAAATTAACCTTTAGTTAAATGGAATTAACTAATGGATAAAGGTGGCGGGAACCACCACTGAAGAGAAAGATCATCTTGGAAGAAGCACAAAAAAGTCCTAATCAAGATGCAGTGAAGCAAAACCAGGAAATAGCATTGGGATTGGATGTTATAAAGATTTATTGATGAATTCAAACATGTTCTCTAATATGTTTCAAGGAGCAATTAATGTAAAAGATAAGGACGATGATTCTGATGTCGAAATTGGAAATAGCCAGACTAACAGGCAGCCATGATAAGGAGGCTACTGCCTATTGTCCCTTGGTTGTTGAAAGCTCAGCCAGGAAATCTAGTATACCAGTAACAGAGAGAAGCGCCGCATTCACTTCAGGGATGGAAAGCATGATTCACGAGAATAGAACAACTTTGAAACACTATGATGATCCACCGGTTGCATGTAAGAAGACTCGAACTTAGGGCTAAAGATTGATCCATGCATCAGTAAGGTTTCTGGAAGTCTTGCCAAGCAAGGTACACAGTCTGATATCGATTCGATTAAACGAGATTTATTAGCTGGAAATGTAGGGATGTTGGGTACAATCTGTTTACTAGAAAACCTATGGTAAAAGCATTTTCCTTCTTACTTAATAAAGAGTGCACAAATAGTTTATATGCAAAACTTTTGCAAGTTCGAAAGGATCTGTTGTTGGCTAAAGACAATGGCTTCCAAAAGGCCACCTAGAGTTCAAGCTGGATTCAGCGGTGGTCGTTCATTTTGTTAACCGAGGTGCAGTGGATTTGCATTCCTTCGGTACACTAATAAATGAAGTTATGAGCTTGGAAAGGAAAGTTGAGGGATCGAAATCGATCACAATATATAAGCTAGAAACGGCAATCAATGCGCAGATCATCTAGTAAGCATGGCTCAAGTGATTGACTCGGATTACTCATCTTCAAAGTCCTCCCATCAGATGAAGGCCTTTTCTACTAGAGGATGGTGTAGGCAAAGGGTTGATCAAATTGTAATAATTTCATTTTTCTCTGAAGTACAAAAAGGTGGAAATTAAAGCACCCAAGATTAACAAAGCTTCTTGAAAAAGAAGAAAGAAACGATTTACCTGTCATTTAAATGCCATCCCTTGATACTTGCCACTTCAGTTAAAGCATTACGCCAACTTTGGATCTTGTCTTTGTGTATGTGTTCATGTCTGGCAAAGGCTTCTCCAACTCTGCCAGTCTGCTTCCTTAAATCGGACGGATCAACTTGATAAAAAACTGGGAAAACTTTATGACTTTTTTCTCTTTTATGTTTAACAATCTCAGCAAGCTCGTCCAAGCACCAACTTGAATGAGCATATGTTTGGGAAAACACGACGATTGAACCCCATGACCCTTGGATTGCTTCAAAAAGATTTGATCTGATCTCCTCTCCAGCTTCAAGCTTTGGGTCATCCCTGAAAGTGATGATTCCATTCCTTTTTAAAGCTTCGTATAGATGATCCGAGAAGTTTTTGCGAGTATCTTCACCTCTGAAGCTCAAGAAAACATCGTATTTATACCGAGAAGAAGACGATGACGAAGAAGACCACGACGACATGAAGGTAGGGAATTGAAACTAGCGTTCGTATTGTATGACATCAAGTAAAAGATGCACAAGAGATCGATTTAAGGAAAGAAACAAACATACGATTCGACAATTATGTTCAGTACATCTGAAAGCGGGTGCTGGTCGGCCATAAACTAGTGGTGATGCTCTTTCCAGGAAGAATCCAAAGTTGAGTGTTGAATTACTTTTAGAGTAAATTATAAATTTATTCACTGAATTTTATTTTCTCTTTATTCATTCATTATATTTTTAGTTTTGTCAATTTAATCACTTAATTCTATACATTAAATTTTTTTATCACTTGAAACAATTTTTTAATTATTAAATTCTATGTCAGAAATAAAATTAAAAATAGGGTATAACTTTTTTCCTTGAAAACCCCAATAACCGCCATTACCTCCCAAACACCATTACCTGCTTGAAAAGCTCAAAACTAGCCCTAAAGAACGAAAAGTAATTCAATTTGTATGATTGTTTGCAAACAATGGAAGCATTTAAAAGAAAATGTGCTAATATTTTGCATTTGTATCTCATTTGCATGTCTCTGGAAATTATGTCATACTGCTACTCCTGGAATTGTTCTCGTTTACCTTTATGAAACAAAAAATTAATGACTAGAAGAAAACACAATGAAAAAATCTCTCACGATGAACAATGGGTAAATAAACCCAGAGATGAAGCTAACAACAACTAATTTGCATTATGGGTTTCTGTATATAAATGTTTGAAATATTTTTCTAGTGTATATCATGTTCACTCGAAGTGATTTGATTTTACCTTACTTCTTAAAAAATGCAACCTGCAAGGCCAGATTAACCCTTACAAATTGAATTAAACCAGCTGTTCCAACCGCTGCGAGGAAGTTAGTTCGACCGTACTCGGTAAGCTATACCATCTAAGAAAACATATCTTACTGCAACCAGGAACAAGGTCTTGCAGAAATTTCATCCTTTCACTGATCTTTTCTCTTCTTACCCGAGGTCATAACCAATTAACTCCAATCAGATGATTTAAATATGTCTAAAGTTTTCTGTGTAAACCTTACCCTTTTCTGCAAGATTATGGTTGTTTGTTGCAAACCTATTCGAGCTCTGACATAGATGTGTTCTTCTTTTGATGGATCAGAAGCTTGAAGCCCATGTTTTTCATGTTTCGTTTTAGGGTTGTTCATAACTGTACATCGGTTTTGGTATCCTTTCTGTTGTTTTTTCAGAACCATCCTTAGCAGCCTCGACAGGTGATTGGCTTCTGTTAGCTTGATCAATCTCAGCCTCCTGCCGTAAACTTAGTAATATAAAACCATGTACAAACAAAAAGTGAGTAGTGGATCAGAGGAAGAATCGATCAACATTATTTCACATGCATGCTCATTTTCCTTTTCTTAGAACTAACACCTTTAGCTGACGGTTCACCGTCTGTACCATCCACGCAGGGAAGGGGAAATGGAGTTAATGAAGTCTTTGATGAGGAATTTCTGAAAAGCGGAACACTTATCGAATGTTGATCGGCAACGAGGAAAGGACTGGACCCATTTGGTATCGAAGATCGACAATTTCCGATGAGCCTTCAAACTTTTTGGAAGAGGAGAGAATTCTTGGTGGAAGCTTGGGGTTGAAGAAGTTGGCTTATTGAGTGTTTAAAGGTTGGTCCTTTGCGGTGACGGATTCAGAAAGAAGCGTTGGATGATGCGATGCGAGTATTAGAAGGAAAAAGAGCATTTTTTTAAAAATGTTATCTTTTTTACTATTTAAATTTGAACAATTTACATTTATTATTTACAAGCTATATACCATCAATAATTATATTACTTATAATTTCCCAGACTAGTAAAAAAGTAAAAACTACAAGCCATTATTAATACAGAGTTCAGTACCTTTAAGAGCAAAATATAATCTAACCCAAAAAACAGTGACGTGAAAATGGCGATTCTGATCAACAATCTGAATGCAAACCACCAATTCTATAAAGAAAATTCAGATTAAACAAAACTTAAGCAATAACATATCAAAATGAGGGAACAAAGACTAGAAGAACATAAGGAAATAACATAGTAAAATTCTAGTACTAAAACAAACATAGCATTTCAACAGTTCGTTTCTTTCTTTCTTTTTTCTTATGAAAATTTCGTCATCATCCACATTTCTTCCTTTTCTCTTATGAAATTTCATCCTCGTCCGCATCTGAAACAATTGCACGATCAAATATACTTAAAACTTATTCTTGTACTGGCCGCCATCATCACCATCATCATCATCATCACTATCATCTTCATCATCGAACTCCTCATCGACATCTTCCTCGTCATCTTCATCATCATCAAATCCGTCCTCATCATCCACCACGTCATTCCCACGAGCCTCGACAACGAGACCACCCATCCCATGGTCGCCGCCAGTTTTCTCCTCCAGGCTCAGCCCTCCATGAGACCCGACGAGAGAACCTACTTCAGTGAAACCAAAGATGGGTATTTGGGCGTGGATCTTTTGGCTCGAAACGAATAAAGATTGAACAATCTGGTGGTGATCTTTGGCTATGTTTTTGAGGTTTGCGGTAGCATTGGACCGACCGAGAATTTGGCTGCGTAGAATCTGGGGTAACGATTTGCTGTTTTTCAGCAGATTTCTGGCAACGGTTGCTGTTGTTGCCATTGATGCAATCAAAGTAGTTACTTTGGAGGTTTTGAGAGATGGAAACTGAAGGCTTGAGGTTTAGGATTTTGGCAGAGGGTTTTGAAGAGAGGCTCTAGGGTTTAGGGTTTTTGAGAAGAAATGGAATGTTGCCACGTGTAGGTGCTAGGAGAATTCTAGAATTTTACAAAATACTTGGAAGAAAAATGACCCTTTTCTTGGATTTAGCCCATTTTTATGAAGTTTATTTTGGCGATTTGACCAAACACACCCTTTAATCGAATATCTCATTTTTTAGCACTGTTTGTTTTATATTTCTCGAAGTGGTACCTTTTCGACTGAGGTGGCGAAAGGCGTATCCCCGTAGACGCGCTTTACCTGGTTTTACGCTGAGTTGGTTGCCACGTGTGAAAGGCGCATCCCCGTAGACGCGCTTTACCTTTATTTTGCTGATTCAGTTGCCACGTGTAAAAGGCGCATCCCAGAGACGCACCTTTCAGTAAATGTTTTAAATGCCCATCCGATTTTTTCCCAACTACCCCTCCTCCTCACCTATATAAACCCCCTCAACCCCCTCATTCTTCACACCAAAATCTTCTTCTCCTTTCTTATATAACTCAAATTCTCCAAATCTTTGAGTTTTAAATTTCTTATTAGTGGTAATAAATTTATTTTTCAGTTATTTTTTTTAAATAGTTATTATATTTTATATTAATATAATTATATAAATATTATTTTTTATTAAAATAATATTTATATAATTATTATTTATTTAAATTTATTAATTAATTATTTTTTGTGCTAATTATTTTTTTTGTCTACAGTTATAATGAAAAGTGAAATGTTGTTGCGATTAGATGCTGACCATATCTCCAGACATTTTAGCGATATGGTAATATTTTTTTATAATTAATGTTAATATTTATTGTTATGTTTAATTTAAATTTATTATGAATTTATATTATTTTAATTTTTTATAATGCATATTATTTATGATACTGATCGTATTTTAGAGACATTTATTAAAAATCCACGTATACCGACACCGGAACGTATTTTGCCATTTTTAGCTTCTGCCGGGGTCGGATATATTGCAACAATCATTGGCGGTTGCAAACTCGAACCTGTCCTAATTTCTGCATTGATTGAGAGGTGGAGGCCCGAGACACACACTTTTCACCTTCCATGTGAAGAGGCTACAATTACATTGGAGGATGTCTCTATACATCTGGGGATTCCCGTCGACGGAAATATGATGTGTGGTATGGCGGATGATGATTGGCAGTCAATGTGCATTGATTATCTTGGAGCTGCTCCGCCAGAGTTTAATGGAGGTAGAATAGCTTTATCTTGGTTGAAAGCTAATTTTAAGGTTTTAAATGAAAATGCTTCAGAGGATCAAGCAAAGGCATGTGCTCGGTCATATATTCTATGAATAATTGGAGGAATATTGATGCCCGACAAATCTCGCAACCAGGTGCATTGTATGTGGTTGCGGCATCTGATCGATCTTGATGAAGCATGAAGATATAGTTGGGGCGCTGCAGTTTTGGCATTTCTCTTTAGAGAAATGTGTCGGGCAACGAATTATAAGAAAACTGCTATCGGTGGATGTCTCCTGCTTCTGCAATCATGGGCGTGGTTCCGCATGCCCTTCTTATGCCCGATCATGAATGAACCATACATATTCCCCTTATTGTTGAGGTAATTATCGAACTAAATTTTGATTTAAATATTTTTAATTAAATAGGGTGATATTTAATTTATATTATATTTCATAGGTGGTCGATGAAAAGAAAAAAACAATAGAAGTATACCTACTGGGTTAGAGAAAATTCGTCTACTTATTAATACAAAAGCTGGGTCTGAGGTATGTTTTTACACCTGTTTAAATATTAATATTTTAATTTAAAATGTTATATATAATTGGAATATTTTATTTATTTGAATTGTATATTTATATTTCAGTTTCAATGGATACCTTATGCAAGCGATGAAGTGAAGGCTTGCATCCCACCCCACCTTGGTGGGTCATTAGAGGTTTGGATATCGGTTATACCTCTTATATGTTATGCTATTATTGAGTGGCATCCAGTTGATCGCGTGCTCCGTCAGTATGGTTGTACGCAATATATTCCTGGAGCACTTAGGAATTTAGACGACGTGCATAACATAGATAGACGAGGAAAGAAAGATGTTAATTAGGTGGTGAGACACAGAGATTGGATTGCGCTTTGGGAGAACTGGTATGCACAGTTGGCCCCTCGACAATATTACACTGAAACTGGTCATATGGTTACGGATAACTATATGGACTGGTTTAATGAAAATGGGAAGTCGTTTCTACTTTGGGCGGAAACACGAGGGGTTAGCATTCCTAGGCGCCGAGAAAGACGTCAACCGTCTCAATATCATCGTCCTCTGAAGCATGGACGGAGAGAAGGTGCTACCGGTTCTGCATCAGTCCCACCACAACATCCTTATCCACCGATGCCACAATGGTACATGCCCAGCCCTCCACTTCAGATGCCATCTCCTCAGGGGTATATGCCAAGCCCACTAGTTTATATGTCATCTCCGCAGGGTTACATTCCTAGCCCGCCAGGTTACATGCCTAGCCCGCAGGGTTTTATACCATATGGAGGTGCATATACGGCTATGTTTAATGATCCAGCATATGATTCATATGCATCTTATTTGGCTGGTGATGCTTCTCCTCAGACACCTCAATCTCCATCTGGATCACAGACATCGATGCAAATGTTTCCACAGTTTTCACAGTTCCCGGGGAGCGGTGGGATGGTTACTAGCACTCCTCCAAGGTCGTTATTTTATACAGCCCCTTCAGCGTCATATACGCCAAATGAAGAAAATGTCGATGATGATGATAGTGAAGATGATGAGACTGAAGAACAAGTTCCACGAAGAAATCCTCCGCGAAATAGACAACCACCGCCATGTGGAACTCATTCGAGAAGACGACATCGGTGATCCAGTTGTATTTTAATGTTATTTAAATAGTTATATTTCAAAAATTTATGTAATTTGGTTATGTTATTTAAATGTTTCATGGTTGTTACTGCCAATATTTTTAATGTTATTTTTATTCAAATTTAACATTAAATGTTTAATAAATGTTTTTAAAATACAAATTATAATATTCGAAATTTAAAATTAAAATACAAATAATATTATTTGAAATTTAAATTTAAAATATAAATTATAGTATTCAAAATTTAACATTAAATTTAAGTTAATATTCCAATTGTATTCGAAATTAAAAGTTATATTCCAATTATAGTTCACAGTACTTAAATTGAAATTAAATTTATCCATACATATGATTTTATCATTAACATATATATTAAAATGTATACATTAAAATCAACTTATCACTTCACATTTATTCGTAAAAACATGTCGATGCTCATTCCATACAATTTCAATGTCACAATAAACTTATCACTTCATATTTATTCAATTTATCCATAATAATTTATCTAATTTATTCAAACTTCACATAACGTTTTAATTTAAGTTATGAACTTAAATTTATCTATATGTATAATTTTATCCTTAACTTACTGAACTTCCAAAAGAAGTTAAATTTTGGTTATAATTTACCTGATTTCACCATCCATCTATAGTTCCCCAGGAACGCGCTTTAAAGTCCCCTAAGGAATAATAGGTATTGACATGAATAGTTCTCGGGGGACATAAGTGACATAATAGGGCAATGATAACATATTATCTGACAAAATAATGAAAGGCGCGCCCCCGGGAACGCGCCTTCATGGTCCCCTAAGGAATAATAGGTATTGACATGAATAGTTCCCAGGGGACATAAGTGACATAATAGGGCAATGATAACATATTATCTGACAAAATAATGGAAGGCACGCCCCCGGGAACGCGCCTTCACGGTCCCCTAAGAAATAATAGGTATTGACATAAATAGTTCATGGGGGACATAAGTGACATAATAGGGCAATGATAACATATTCTCTGACAAAATAATGGAAGGCGCCCTCCCGGGAACGCGCCTTCACGGTCCCCTAAGGAATAATAGGTATTGACATGAATAGTTCTCGGGGGACATAAGTGACATAATAGGGCAATGATAATATATTCTCTGATAAAATAATAGAAGGCGCGCCCCCGAGAACGCGCCTTCACGTGAATAGTACCCCTGTTATAGACACTATTATATACAACATATTATAAACTTTCAAAACAAACTTCAGTTCACAAGCTTTGAAATTCTCAATCCTCTATTCTCTGAAAATGAGTCGTCTTTCTGTTGTTGTTTTGTATGATGGAGAAATTAAACAAACTGAAGAGGGGGTTGTTTTTGAGTCAGATCATTATATCCCCTTAACCTTGAAGAGAAACATCACTCTTGAGGAGTTAATCACAAAAATTTCGTTAAAGATTCGTGTAGCAGGCCGGAGAAGACTATCTTTACTTCAGTACAGATTTCCTACTGAACTTTTTTCGCTCACGTATACATCATTTCAGCTTTCAAACGATGATGATGTTTCAATGATGGTTGATACTTATATGGGAAGTTCACAATCTCTTATTGAAATGTATGCATCTTTTATTGAGGTTCGTGCTTCTCGTGGTCTCCCATATTCCTCTCACTTTGGCATTGTATATCAAGCTGATCAAGTTGATAGCCCGATATAACTGATCTGTAATGATTTCATATCATTAATGGCGGATCTAACACCAGATGTCATGCCATCAAGTTCAGTAGGAAGGAATTCATATGCAACTGCTTATGATCTCAACCCACGTGGTTTCACCAATAATCCATATGGCAACATCTCTTTTACTTCAAGGGGTAGACATTCATTTGCCAATGTTTTCGACTTACATATGGAAATGCCAACGAAACGACAGTCTATTCACATCCCACATGATACAATGGCCTCAAGTTCAAGGGGAGGGAACACAAGCGGGAACTTATTTGACCTCAATATTAGATTATCGGAGGAACCATCATCTCCACCAAAAGAACCTCTTCGGGAGCCAGGTGCAGATGGTACTGAAACGAGATTATTCGTTGAACCTGACTCACAACAGTTTAACGTACATTCTGATGATGACGAGGATGACGTTCCGATAAATACAACACCAGCCGAACTTCTTGCACATATGTATGGGGCTGATTATGATGCAATGTATGAGCCTGAATTTTTGGATCTTCCTGATGTTGGCAACTATGAACTTCATTCAATAGTTAATGACGATGATTTACATATTGGAATGGAGTTCGCATCGAAGGAGGAAGCAATGATGGCAATAAAGAGTTACAATATTCGTAACTCAGTTCAGTCCCGAGTTGATCGATCTAACACAGAGAAATATGTCTGTTACTGCGTCCAACGTGACAACGAATGTCAATGGATGGTTCGTGTATCAAAGAGGAAGAATAACTTATGGGAACTAACCAGATACAATGGTCCTCATACGTGTTGTGCAAGAGGTATAAACCATGATCATCCCAACTTGGACTCCAACATTATTTGCCAAGCAATCATGCCCATTGTGAAGCAAAGCTCTCATATAGCTGTTGCAGTGTTGATTTCTGCTATACAGTCACAATATGGGTACACCGTCTCATATAAAAAAGCTTAGTTGGCAAAACAGAATGCCATTTGCAAACTTCATGGAGAATGAGATTCATCTTACAACGAGCTGCCCAGTTGGTTTCATGTTGTGCAAAGACTCAATCCCGGGACAATTGTTGAGTTTGAAACTCAACATCATTACGTGAATGATCGAGTGGTTCATGATCGCTGCCAATTCTACTGTGTCTTTTGGACTTACCCTCAGTGTATTAATGCAGTCAAGTACTGTAAACCAGTTGTCCAAATTGATGGTACTTTCTTGTATGGGAAATACAAACAAGTTTTATTATTGGCTGTGGTCCAAGATGGAAACCGTAATATTCTTCCCGCTGCGTTTTCCTTCATTCAAGGAGAAGACACTGAGTCTTAGGTTTTTTTCCTTAAAAATTTATGTTTACATGTTGTCACCAGGGAACGAGTATGCATTATTTCAGACCGAGGAGCCGGGATAAAAGCAGCAATGGACTCTTTGGGTACAATGTATAGACCTCCACATGTTCAACATCGTTATTGTGATCGTCATATTGCTGCAAACTATTACGGAAAATACAAGAAGAACGATGAACGTCAATTAGTCGTGCGGATGGGTATGTTATTTTTCCCCAATTTTTCTATCATTTTCGTATTACTTATTTATACTTCATATTAACTATTACATATTCCTAATGGCTTAGGTTACGAACTCTTACCTCAAAGGTATGAGTCGATGCTACAAGAGTTGTTTGGCAAAAATAAGAAGGGGTGCGAGTACATTATGGACATCAGCAAAGAAATGTGGACAAATGCGTATGACGGGGGGGGTATCGCTATGGTCATATGACAACAAACTTGGCTGAAGCAATAAATTCAACCTTAAAGGGGGCGCGTCATTTACCAGTCACGGCATTGGTCAAAACGACTTATTTTCGTTTAGGTCAACTCTTTGTAAAGCTCGGTGGACAAGCACTTACTTGGATGCAAAACGGTCATATTTACCACCCAAGACTAGTAGCTGATTTACAGAAAAAAATGGCTGCATCAAATGGGATATTGGTTACAAATTTTTCTCGCACCCGTGAATTGTTTCGTGTAACCGAAATGCCACGTCCGTTGCAAGGGATTAAAGCTAATTCTTTCAGAGTTAATCTGTATGAGAGGTGGTGCGATTGTGGTTTCTTTCAATCACTCAAATATCCATGCTCTCATGTCATTGCAGCTTGCTCACATTTGCATTTGGACTACAAAAATTATGTTGACCCCGTATACCAACTTTCACAAGTATTCAAGGTATATGAATTTGAGTTTTCGCCTATAGGAAACGAAAGAGACCCAGATGAGATTCAAACTTGGCTTACAATTGTACCAGATCCATTGCTATTGAGGGACTCAGGTCATCCAAAATCTACTAGAATACATTGTGATATGGATATTCGGGAGAAGTCAACAGAACAAAAACGATGTGGGCATTGTAGAAACATCAGACACAATAGAAAAAAAATGTCCAACTCTATTATCATCACATAATCGTTAACCCTTATGTAACGTAATATTCTATTTAAATGAATGTTTTTGTTTCTAATATTTAAATGTAATTGCATTTTCTATAATTTCTCAATGTATAATAATAATAACAGATTAAATGTGTAATTATACTAATTTTATTAACTTATGCATCAATATTTTGGTTAAATAATAATAACAGACGACTAGATTGATAATATTTAAATAATTAAGTGATAAAATTAGTATATCGATAATCAAAATAAAAAATAATAATATAACCATACGTGTAATATAATAATTTTATACATTTTTCATATAACTACAATAAAATAAAAACTAGGTTTCATTTGTTGTTCTATCTGATTAATGTGGATAATACACTCCACCTTTAACACACATTAAAAAAATACATTCGATAATTATTAAATTATAACTGAAACAATTTACATAATATATTATTAATTTATAATAACAATAAAAATAAATTTTTTTTATTTAAAAATATACTGCGTGGCAACTGAATTAGCAAAATAAAGGTAAAGCGCGTCCTCGGGGATGCGCATTTCACACGTGACATCCAACTCAGCGTAAAACCAGGTAAAGCGCGTCCCCGGGGATGCGCCTTTCGCCACCTCAGCCGAAAGGGTGCCATTCCGAGAAATATAGAATAAACGGTGCTAAAAAATGAGATATTCGGTTAAAGGGTGTCAGTTTGATCAAATCGTCGTTTATTTTGCCCCCGTCCTTTTGTAAGAATTCATTTCATAAATGGACTTTTTAAAATTCGATGGTAAATTATAGTATTAGTCATCAATCTATTATCTCTTTTATATTTTGGTCATTAAATTGTTTTTTTAAAAATTATCACTGATGTTATATGTTTCTATTTTGGTCATTATCAAGGGAAGGTTTTGTTTTCTTCGTATCTTTGGGTTAATATTTTTGTTTTATGTTCGAATTTTTGTGTGACTATTGTCCCCACTTTTTTCTCTACGTTTGGATGCATTGTAATTTTGATTCCTTTCATTATTTTTATTAATGAAATCCGATTGTAATTGTTAAAAATAATAACAGTACTGATGTAAATATATATATATATATATATATATATATATATCACATGATTTTCTTTCTCCTTTGTTAATAACCTACATATTATTTCTTTATTATATTCAAATTAATATGTGTCGTTATTTTATTTATTTCATTTTATTCAATCAATAAGGTAGTGACACATTAATTCAAATAAAGTTGTTAAAAGAATAACATATAAAGAAAAAATAATGCGAAAAGCATAAAAAATCACATGAGGATCTTATTAATGATTGATGATTAAAATAAATAAATAAAAAGTATAATGAAGATTTTAGAAAAAATATACTTGGATAACCAAAATAGAAAATAGAAAAGCAGATCCAGTTCTGCCATTAAGAAATGTGTTTGGTGTATTTCTGTTCATGTCTATGTTTGATTGTAATGTTAATGTGTATTCCATGTTTAAACCTTCTCCGCAGGTATAATCTTCTCTCTCTCGTATATGTATATGAAAAGTAAAATACAAGGACAATGCGAACAGCATTTATGAAGCTCATTCAAGATGTACAACAATAAAAGAATAGATAACAAAATTTTCAGACAAAAATCTGTGCCAATTTTACTTCTTACATAATCCTAAAATTAGCTAACTAGTCCTACTCCGTGACAACAATTAGAAGCAATTTCAATTTTTGCAAAGGCAATAAAGATGACGATGAAGAAGAAGAGCTAGATTTCTTCTCCTCTTTCTTGGTTCAGACAGCATTTAAAAGAAATTGCTCTCTATTACCAGCAGAGGCCCTACGGCGATGCCTCGAACCAGATCTCCTATCCCTCCCACGTCTTGGAGTCCTCTTCCCTTGATTTCTTCCACGGACATTGGTATTCAGCAAAGCTGGTGGGCGTCGAATCAATGCAACTGGTGGAGGCATGTGCTCCAATAGATCTCTATGATATGCCTGTTAATAAGAAGAAAAGCAGTCAAAAATAAAATATATGCCATCAAGCTTGAAATTCATAATAATTCATAATCTCATTAAGCTAATACTCGAATACAGAATATGTACCTGTATGACGAAATTGCGTCTTTCACAATCCAAAAACATATCGATATGCCAATCAACTTTTTCCATTATTTTATCCCTTACTATACCAAAGCTTAACTGGTCCCGGGATGTAAATCGATCAACTTCATTGAACCACAAGCAGGTAAACAGATTTGTGATCGGTATATGTTCCTTTATGAGTACACAACCTTCAGGAACATCTGCAGAAAACCAGTCGAGCACCATAAAGATAGATTTTTTAGTAGAGAAATGGTTGAAAACCCGTATAAGGCATGCACATATTTGTGTCTGTACAAAATATTGTACATACCACTGGTTATAGGAAGCTTGGCCTCAGAATATGGTGTTAATCCCTCTTTTTTATAAAAATCCACCTGTGCATCAATCGATGAATTATCGTATTTTCCTGCAGCTTTATTTGCTTCAGCCTCCACAAAGACATCAAATCGTCTGTAGTGTCTCGAAATCGCAAAATTAGCATTTTGGCGCCACAAGAACCTGAGAAGAAGAATGGCCAAATAAGAAAATGGTCGAATTAAATTCAACTGACTTGGATGCGAGTTTCGAACACGAATATGTATTAAACATGAGTATATTCAATTTTACTCCAAGATTCATGTAATTAGAGAATCTTATTACATTTCCAGAAGCTCTCAATTTGCCATCATCAGCTATTAAACCAAAGCAAAAATTATATGTAAGTAGCCATGTAGCAGTAATGTGGTTAATATTCTTGAACGACAAGGAGTTCATGTTTCTTTAATTCTTTATAACTCGGAGATAAAGTCCATCTGACACTATCGAAATCATATAAGCTAGATATTTAATAATAATCCTTTTTTAAAAATCATTAGATGGAGAGCACCTTTCAAGAATTTGATAAGGATCCACAACAAGCTGGAGCTTTCCATCGATCCATATAGAGTAGCGAATATTTGGGAAGATTCTATGCAACAAAAGCTTTGGGACCTGCCAGGAAAACATGCCACGTAAAAAAGACTCCCTTAAGTGCGAGAACCTAAAGAAATTTCTGATAAGGATTAATGGATCAGATCTTGCAGATCTTTCACCAAATATTGACCTAGTCGTTTCACTTATTTTGTGAACTGAAGTATATAGCTATAGGTCCATTTCGAAGTGGAAAACAAATACAACAATGGTAATCAATGACCCAATTCCCCTTTATCACCTCTTATCTCTTCTCACTGTTGAGAATGCTTTAACATAAAACACTGGTAGCATCGGAACTGGACGATGAATCCAACTTACCCTGGGACAAACTCATAATTGTTGCTAAAAATGGAAGAGACCACAACAAATTTGTTTACTTGTACTAATCATAAATTCCATAACATAGACAGCCGGGTCCAAATACATCAGGATTTGATAAGGTGAATCAGATTACAAAAAGTCCAAATAATGATAAAAAATGAAGCGCAAACCTTGCCATTACGTCTTGCATCACTGTAAGGAACATTGTGAATCACCACAATTCTCCACAAGCCTACCCTTTTACTGCCATCCAACATACTTTTGTTCTTCATATATGCTTCCGTTTCTTTATCAATAAACATGTAGAAAGGAACATTTTTCTTTGCTTCTTCACTGATGTTCCTTGGCTGCTGTATTATATCATATTTGCCTGGAGAGTAATAAATAAAGAAATGACGAGGATAAAGCATACATAAAAACAAGAAAATATTGTGGAACCCTGAATGTCTAGTTGTACCAAATATCCCCGACGCAACAATGATTTCGCGGAATTGCTGCAATTCTTCCAGGTCAGACTCATCAAAGTCAAATCCAGTCAGGTGACCAGGTTGACTTCCCTTGACGAATCTAACAGAGAAAGTACACAGAATTACAATATAAAAAAGCAACAGGGAGAAGATCTATTTATGAAGACAAGTAATTCGTTGAATCATTTAAACACATTGTCAATAACATAAAAATCACAGAAATCTCTACCTGAACTGTTGTAAATGAGTAGATTATAATTAAGAAGTGATAGAGGAGTGAAACCTACCCACAGTGAACTGTCATTGACTCTTTTATATCAAACGTATCATTTCTTTGCTTTAGAGATGGATATCCACCAAAGTCAGAGCCCCCATGTGGTTCATTTTTTATTGGATTTTCATCATGAACATATGTCAAATTTCGAAGCACTGGAGATTCTGATGGGAAACTTGGCATGCTAGCTATGGCCTGATCCACAGAGAGGTAACATACTGGACATGCTGAAAAAAATGACGAGCAGGAATAAAATTAGTAGCAAGATAATGACGCATGTTGATACAAGCTTGATAAGATGAGAATGCTATTCTATTCTTATGATCATGCATGAGTCAACATTTTTAGGTGCAAAAGAGATTATCGTTTACAAAAAAAAACATAATGAATAATCAAATGGCTTTATCTCAATATATTATGTCATTATTAAACAGATGTGGTTGCTTCTATCTAAAACTACAGCTTTATGATCCATGTGAAAAATATTAATACAATTACATTTAATGCAACTCTGGTTACAAGAAAAAGAATAATGAACCTAAACTTACGTCGAGGTCCAATCCGTCTAAGATTAGGTGGAGGGGGAGGAGGAAATGAGAAATTCGCGCATGGATGGTTTGAACCTTTAGAAGCAGAAACTTGAAATCTATTTCCATCACCCCCATTCACAATATTTGCTGCATAATACTTTTTATCTTTATGCTGATCCTTCCTTCTGAGGACCCGTGAAGCTTCATTACGGGCACCATTCAAATAATGAGTCGTTCCCATCTGTTGATCAACAGTTGCACTGTTGCTTTCTGTCTCATTAATCATACAGAATGCAAAACAGAAAAAAAAAATATGAATAGGTTATTGTCTCAATTAAATTACTATGCTGTGAATGAAAAGTCAAAGAGTCACTATGTAAATCAGTGAGCCTATAAAGAAACCATGTCAATGACGCCTTAGTGCTCTAGAAATCAAAATTCAAGAAGTTAGAACTTGAATCCAGAGTAACAGAAAAAGGAAGTGACCTTTGTTGACAAGAAAAGAACCCAAGACGAAGACCAAAAGGGCAAGGGAAACCAGAAGCAGCATGGAAACTTTCCGGCGACCCAGACACCGATACCAAACAGAGGAGAGAGACCTCTCCTTTTCCCTAGAACCTGAAAGCATCATGATTGAATTCTTTCGTGCACTACCAAATGATTTTGAGTGCAAAAATCTTCCACCACCAGCAATAACATTTTTTATGCTTGGCAATGACCCATAACTCCCTGTGCGTAGACCCAATGACCTTCCAGTCATTGTATCTCAAACCCGACCCCGAGTTTCTCACTCATTTCCTTTCACCCTATCATTCACTCACAAAACCCCCACAAAAGTTCTAACAAAAAAAAACACTTACAATGAAGAATTGTCCTATTTTGCTGGCAATTAGAAGCAAATCCAATCACACAATTCTCATTTTAGGTAAAAGAATACAACAAACATCGACTGGTGAATCAAATTGCTATCACACATATCACTAGAAATACCAATATCACAGTTCTCCCAAGCATTTAACTTTCCAACTTGTTCCCAAAAGCCAATGTGTGATTTCTGTTATCATAAACCGACCAAACAAAAAACAGGAAGTCAGGAATTCCTTTCTTCAAAACACTTCAGAAAAAAAAATCATAACTTTTTTTGCAAATGTACTTTTTTCAGATTTCAGAAACTAAAACCAATCTACATCTTTTTACAATGAACACAAATTAGATTATCATATGGCCTTTAACGACAGGTTAGCATCCTTCCACTATTTTTCTCTCCATGGCTATCCAATATGACTTTAGTCATCGCACATAAGGATGACTTCCACAGTTCATAAGTGAGTTACATACATATTAATGGTGTTACTGAATGCAATGATAAATAATGGATAAAAAGGTCATGGAATAAGCTGAATCATGTAATATCAAACCTTTGGTCATGAAAATACATGAAGTTAATGACAAATCGCAATAAATCTGTTCCTTCAACCAATGTGATTGAATTCATGTAAGAATGAGAAGGCATCAAAATGTGGCAAAATGAAGCCTTTTTTCCACATAAACGAAAATCCATGATTCACTTCAACTTAACTTGAGAAACCAATGAGATTAAATTCTACTAACCCAACAGAGAAAATGAAACATCAAAAATAGAAATTTGGCAATAGAAATTATAACCCGGTTTAGAATTTCATTAAGCTTCTTCTCAGAACTGACATGATTCAATATATAAAAATATACCCACCTGAAAAAAATTCTTTTAAATTAAAAAACTGGGTCTTTATACATGAAATCAGAGGGAAATGATTAAGACCCAAAATCCCAAAAAATGCAACAAAAACATGCCAATAAAAACAAAAGATTTGATCAGTGTAAATGGAATCTCTCACTGTATATCCAGGAGTTCAAATCCAATCTCAAATCAGGATGAAAAATGCTAAAAATGTGGGGGAAATCACTTACCTTTAAGAAAAATGTAGGTCCCTCTTTAGATTTTTTATTCCTTTTTGCCTCTTAAATTTTTTGTTGAATGTTTTTGAGTTTTCGTTCTTCTGATGTTGATTGTTTTGGTAAGGAAGAATACTGAATTGTTTTTTTATTTTGTAAAACAAATAAATTTAGTTGATTATTTTGATACTAATGAAATTATCTTATTTGATACAAAATTATACTTTTTGTTCTAAGATGAAATCTGTATATATAAGAAAAGTATGAAATATTGTGATATGAATACTATAAATATATTTTTTATATAATTATTGATATTTAATTTATTAATCAGTTAATTCGAAACATGTATTACAGAGGCGAGGAGATTCTCCAAACCCAGTTTATTCTATTCATAAACGTCAAGATGCGAACTTCTGATCTTGCTTAAGAGGTCTAGTGTTTCATCCCACTAGACCAACTGATATATTAAATAGTAAATTACACAAATAGTCACTAATATTTGAGTTAGTTTTCATTTTCTTCATTGAAGTTTTAAAAATAAAAATTAGCCAATAACGTTATCGATTTGTAACAAATCAGTCACTCGTGGTTACTGAATAACAGAATGCTGATGTGGCATATTAGTTGCCTTATGTGGCATTATTTGACCATACAAATTGACTTATCTTAATAACCCATTCACTTTCACTTGTTTTCTTAGCAACCAAATAATCATTTTCTTCTCTAAATTAATTTAAGAAAATCTATATTCCATCAATCCATAGATGATTTTCCCCTATTCTTTTGGGGAGTAATAAACACCTCTACGTTAATAAACCCGCTTTTAATAAATCCACCACCATTGTTCAAGATTCATGGGAGAAAGCCAATTCCATTTGCAGCTTCAATGGAACCACTTGCGACGATGAAGGTCAAGTTGATGATGTTGAAAATGGCAAGGATGTCTTCAGTGGGGAGCGACCAGTAAATGCATCCCAAGAGAATAGCCAACAACGGGTTCTTCCTCAATGTGAAAAAGACATCTTTACGATAATACCGATTGAGCTGAGAGGTTAACCAAATAATGCAGTTCGATCTCTAATGGTGGGAATAAAATATTTGGTAGCAGCTGGTACAGAAACCTGTTGAAGAACTCGGATGCAAAGCTTTATGTATTTAAGGGGATTGACAAAATATTCAGGCTGAAACAATGTCATTGCACCGACAACTCTCATGATCTTTGAAATCCATAAATACCCAACTCATTGAACGTCTCACCTTGGCTTTGCCCTATCAAAATGGAACTTCTTATATTCGGATTTCCCATTTGAAATACCCATTCTACTTCAATAGACAAATGATATAAGTAATTGAGCTTATTATCTTAGTTTTTCTATCACAAATCTCATCAGATCAAGAATAAATATTGCAAATAATATTGATTCCCTCATAACTTCTATAAAGAGAGTAACACACCAAGTGAATTACGAGAAAATGGGGGAAAGGCACAAATTATAGAACGATTAAGAGTTTTGACACCAAAATAAAACCAACTGACAATGAAAAATGGTTGATAATCACTTGAACGTAGAAAAAAAATAAAGAGAACCTAATGAGAACAACTAGCTGCATGGCATATAATGCACCCAAAATAAACGAGGCTATTAGAAGCCTTCGAACATACCAGAAATAGATTAGTTAGGAGGAGCCTGCTTTATCACTTTTATTTCCTCTGGTATACTACTATTTGTTATATTTGGAAATTGGAATCGAGAACAATGGTGGTGGATTTAATAAGGGCAGATTTATTAACATAAAGGAGCTTATTACTCCCCAAAAGAATAGAGGAATTGCGTAAAATCATATGCTGAAGGAATAGAGATTTGTTTGAATTAGTTTAGGGAAGAAAATAGTTGTTAGGTTGCGAAGAAAATGGTTATTTGGTTGCTAAGAAAATAAGGGGAAATGGAAGGGTTGCCAAGATAATTCAGCCTATATGGTCAAAAAGTGTCATATAACTTAACTGATGTGTCACATCAACATTTTGTTACTTCAGCAACGGTTATTAACGATGAATGACCGATTTGTTACGAATCAATAACTTTAGTGATTAATTTGTTATTTTTGAAATTTCAGTGGAGAAAACGAAAACTAACTCAAACATTAATGATCATCTATGTAATTTACCCTATATTAAACTATTCATATTTTAAATTTTAATTAAAATAAAATGAAATCATTAAATTTAATGTATTGTTTATGTAATATGTTAATGGTTTTAACATGTGTGGTTGTAAAATTTAAACAATTATTTTAATAGTCATCGGTGCTTCAAGGAATCAAGAGGGGTATTAATGTTTTTTATTTTTTTTATTTATTATTTGTATGTACTTATAATAAATCTTTGAGCTTTGAGCTGTTTGAAAGATAAGAAATAAAAAAAATTATTTATAATTTAGAGGACACAATGGACTTTTAGTTCATTCCATTAAATAAGAGCAACGCATAATAATAATAATAATAATAATAATAATAATAATAATAATAATAATAATAATAATAATAATAATAATAATAATAATAATAATAATAATAATAATAATAAAAAGAACATGGCATATATATAAAACATCATACATAGAATGGATGTCATGCAATGCAACCCAAATAACTCTATCATGTTTCATGCGGTTGTTGGAATTACCATCTCGATGAGATGAATCAGTCAGTAATTAAAATTAATATCCCAATGAATGAACCAGTCGATAATTCAGTCATTTCTGTAAAGTTATCCTATCCATATGCAATATAAGTAATGCACATGCTCATACTAACATAGAACGATCACAACATAATCGATTCATCATATTTTATTCACGGATAGAAACATAATTCAACTATTCGATTAAGGCACACATCGATAGATATAAAACATGGATTTACTTATCACATATAATTGTTTAACATATTATAAACATAGCAAATTCAAATAAAACACATGTAGCACTAAACAAGGAACACACATTTAGGTATCTATAGCACTAACTCTAAACACGTTTCTCGCACTCAGTAGCACTAGTTCCAACAACTTTAGAACCTACAAGTTTGAAACACTATTTTAATATTCAAAACAACTCACATATTAACAATAAGACTTACGATTTCTAAGTTAAAACATCTTACATGTAACTCTAGTCGAACCGTCGAGATTAATATGAACATGATGAGACAAGTCCGGGCCCATTGATTCACTATTTGAACCATCGGGTCAATGGGTCGGGTCAAAGTGATTCACTATTTGAACCGCCCACTTATGCACGGTGATGCGTGGGGCGTGTGACGCCCATCCGGTGGTCAAAAAATTATAAAAAAATACATAATAATATTTTAAAGTACTGAGAGTCACTTAGAAAAGTTGGTTTTTCTAAAAAAATTGACGGTGATGGGGTTTTAAGGAAACTCAAATATTTGAATCCTCACCGATTGTAAACGACGACGGTGAACGAAAATCTAAGGACGTCGAACGAATGGGGTCAACGAGACGAACACAATGATGTCAGAGGTGTCGTATACCACCACACAGTTAGCAACCAATCAAAAAACTAAAACTAATAGGAGAGAAAGAGAGAGGGAGGGAGAGAGAGAGAGAGAGAGAGAGACGAACACCATGGTGTCGGATGTATTGTACACCACCACACAGTTAGCGACCAATCAAAGAAAAACTAAAACTAATAGACGAGAAAGAGAAAGAGAGAAATTGTTTATTGCACGAACATGAAAAAGAAAAATAATGAAAAAAGGAATCTGGTTTTAAACTTTACCTACTTTTTAGGTAAATTACACTATAAGTCCTCAAACTCTTGAGAACTCATAAAAAGGCATAAAAACTTTAAGAAACTTATAATTTAGTCCCAAAATTTGAGATGTAACAACTCTACCCTTAAGGAAATTTCGTCATCAAAATTTACAAAGCTAAGCACTAAAGTTTATTCACTTCAATACTCTACGGTTATACCTCTAACATAAAGATTTGACAAAAAAGGATAAATAACTCGATT